AAAAAATGTACAAATAAGAACTATAATCTAATTTAATAAATTTTAAAATTATTCCCATCAATTTTAATTAACAATTAAAAATGTTATTTTTATGGAAAAAATAACCAGCTTTGTTATTTTGCTTTTATGATCACATCAAGCTTTTTAGTTCATCCGAGATTAAATTATTAAAAAAGAAAGTCGAAGTACATTCTCAAAATAGATGAAACTTGATTAGGAGATTTAAAAAAATCTGGAACAGGGCCATTAAAAAAAATAAAAAAATGACGTAACTAATACTCTACACAACATTACTTCGCTGTCTGGAAACTAAAGAATAAACAGAAATTGATAACTTATTTTTCATTAAACCATAGATATAATCATTTTTTGAAGTTTATAATGAATGTATTCCAAACTCCTACTTCCAATATCAATAGGAAAGTATTTCTCACTGACACAGATAAATATTTTTACTTTAGCAGTGATCAAAATCAAAATAAAAATTAATTTCCACTAGATCAGTTTGTTTACAAATCCATTTTTTCAATGAGTAAAAAAAAAGAAAAAAGAAAAAAAACCATCTTAGTCAAATGGATTACTAAAAGCGAACTTTTCAAAAATTTACAATGTTGTGTTGGATAAAACCACATAGGAAGTGTAGACGAGAAACAAAATATACAACACACACGAAAAGTGATTTTTAAGATCAATTTACTTAGTTTACACAAGCAAAGAAATCACGATATGTGATCAAAGTAAATCAGTAAGGAAAAGACGATGACTACAAAAAAGATAAATAAAAACAAGTAGCAGCAATAAGTTTACAAACAAAAATGGAAAGTGAATATGAAAAAAATCCATGAGAAAGTTTTCACTATTTACTTTAGTTTGACCTAGTAATATTCAAGTGCACTTGTGAAACTTCGTGGTTAAGTTCCTCTATTATTCCAAAACAACCCACACAAAACTGAGCAGCACAACAACAATGTGAATGTATGAGATCACTTGCACTTGTATAAAAAAAAAAAAAAAAAAAAAAAATCAAAACAATAACAAAGTTTAAATAGAAAAAAAGTTATGAAAATAGCATTCAATATTGTTACTTGTAAGCTGCAAAACTCACCAGTTGAAATATCCTCGATTAAAATAAAAGAATTACAAAAAATTGGACAATAAAATTAAAATAATTATGTCGAAATTAAGGGATATTCGGAAAAAGTTGAATGTGAAAGTGGTCATTAAAAAAATAAAATTTTTAATTACTAATTATTTTTTAAATCTGATTTCTTGTTAAATTGAGTGGAGAAACAAAAAGATGCTAAAACTTCAGACAAGTAAGACCTTCCTTACGATGTTTAGATTGTAGTATAACAAAATTAATTACAGCATCTTTTTATAATTAATAAAGAAGTTTATAACATTTTAAACTCATCTTGCTATCTCTAGCAAATAAGTTAAATTTGAGTTAAACCTCTGGAAATTAAATTTTCAGACGATAAATTAACGTTCGCGCATATTTTTTTGGTGCATGGGGAAAATATATATTGTATAAAAAAAAGAGAACTAAAAAGGATAAGCTGGGTCTGCCTGCTGCAATCATTTTTTGTTTGTTTTTATCATTACTGATACTATTGCTATAAAGAGGAGAGGCGAATATGTGTTATGGCAATTTCCCTCCACAGAGACACGCTCACACAAAGAGCAGGAAATGGTAAACGTATGGCTGCTGCTGCTGCGGTTGTTACTACTGACATTGCTTGCTTGGCGAGAGGCTTTCTGATTTGATTGTGTATAGTATGCAAGGTGGACAATTCTGAACATTCAAGTAGTCAGGAAGTGGGGAGAAAGGAAAATATACTGTATTTATTTACACAGCAACTAGGTGTTGCGGCGGTAGTCGGTAAAAAGAAACAGGTATAAGTGAAGAGGAGAGTTTTAACCCCAGAAATGCATAAGAAAAATATTTTCTCATTAAATCATATAGAAACTTACTTATACCTTGAGAAGCATTTTTTTTTAAATTATATGTCTATTTGCTAAGTTTCGATTTTACTCGTTTCTTCTTTGCTTATTTTTTAACATATAAACGGCCAATGATTTCTTCAGCAGAACTATTCTTCTTCAGTCACGTCTAATCAATCCCGCAATTGTCCGCCGGCGATTTTTCTTCATTCCTTACGACCCCCATCCTTAATTCCCGCCTTGTTCAGCAATGAATATCAACAAAATTAACACACCACCCTGTCTTCTTCCCGAAGCAAATGCTTGGAGTGAAAGAAAAAAAAAAAATCGCCTTTATATTTTACAAACACTTCTTTGTTAAGACTGGCGATAGGTTAATTAAAATTTTAATTCAATATCTTTGAAATAGAAAGGCACTCCATTTCAAAGAACATCAAACAAACTTACAAAACAATGAAAAGTACAATATTGTAGTCCAATATATGCTTCTTTAAAAAAAAAAAAAAAAAAAAAAAAAAAAAGATTCCTAATTCAAATAGTGGGTTCTGTCATTTTTTTTATTGACTAACTTAAACAGCTTACTGCAGCTTTAGTATTCGACACAAGGCTGGGATATTTAGTGAAGATCGAATTCACACTCAGTAGCAAACCATACACAAGGTGCACGACTTTTTTTTTCTTTTCATGACGAAAACAATCACTCAAATCAAATGATACACTGCATTTGCTGATGTATTATTTGCTACAACAAACAGCCTTTTTTTTTAATTACAAATGCCGGTTGATGTGGATACGGTAGATTAATTTTCTCATCGCCAATTTGCTAGTTTGTGAAATACTTCATTTTTCATTATATCAATTAAAACGCGAATGTTATGAACTTTCTTCAAAGTTTGTAACTGAAAAATGCATAAATAGCCTTACTGACCATCCATAGAAAAAATGGGTCACTGAAGCCTTCTTTAAAAGAGGTTGGTAGAAGTTTAAAGCAAGAACGTTAGTAGCAGATAAATATAGTAAGACGGATTGAATTCAATATGCCATCGTATGTCTATAAAAGAACAGCAACTACTAACAGTAAAATAAACGGACAAGAATTAATATAAAGAAAAAAAATCCATTCAAACACGAAATAAACAGGTTAAATTTTTATATCTATTTTTAAAATTAAAACGAAAAGAATTTTTTTTTAAATAATTAGTATATATATATATATCTTTTTTTCTTGTAGACATTTTTCTATTCTAATTCCGACAATTGACAACGAATGGCTCTTAGAACAATGAATAATTGGACTTGATAATAATAATGCAACAACAAGAGACAAAGGAAACAGACGCATCATCCATAGTTGAAAAAGTCACGACACAAAAATTGTCTGCTTTAAATTAAAAGGAAAAAAATATACATTTAAAAATATTTTAATTTTTAATTATAGACGAAGAGTTAATATGCAACGTGAAGATAAAACTAGTTCGCTCTAAATTTTGAAATTCAGATTTGTTCTTATTTTCACAAAGGAATTGCTCAGATAAGTTGAGAAAAAGTCTAAAATTTGACCGTGGTTTTTTATGTGAAAGAAAGGGAGACATGCTTAGCTTTAGAATTCTATTATAATAAATAACAAAAAAAGATGCTTTGTTTTTTCGAGGGGACAAACTGATTTTATATAACATCATCACATGAAATAAATTTTAGTAGTGAAATAAAGAAAAATAGAAGTTAAGCAGAGCAAAATATAATTATGAATTTCGTGGGATCAATTTCTCTTCGAAACGACGAAAACGAATCATTCTTTGTGCTCGCTAAAACTTCAAAGCATTTTTTCTTGACTACAGAATCTTGTACTGCTCACGTCTTAAATGATTACTTTTTTAAACAAATCTAACAACTTGAACATTTGAGAAATTATGTCTGATTTGGTACCCAAGAAATGTACACACTGATTTTGCACATTTGATTTCAAGGGGATTTTAGTGGAATACGTTTACGATTAAAAAGCAAAACGAAATAAATAATAAAAAAAAAAAGTCTAAAATTTCTATTAAAAAAAAAAAAAAAAAAAATCAAAATAAAACAAAATCATTCAAAAAGTAAAAAATAAAGGTTTTTAAAAAAAAAAAAAAAAAGATCCCCCATTTCTTCACGGCTCTTTACTTTTTAAAGATATCAAAGTCTCTGTTTAACAACAAAATTTTTAAAAATACTATTTTCCTTTCAAAGTCTACGTGAGGAAGAAACATTCTGATGGCATTAAATCAAGATAAACCTCCTGAAGTAGAACCGAACAGTTCTAATATCAGAACTAGCGCAAAGTTAAAATCAAAAAGTGGGGGATCAGTACTACAAAGTAATCCCTTACTTTGTGACCATTACACACGCATATGAGCTAAATATTCTCAGATGACGTCCAAATTATAGCAATTGCTAAATATATTAGTTTTAAAAGTCGCTCTTTATAATAATTAGGACATTAATTTTAGGAACCAAGAAAAAATAATTTTCTTTAATTTTTAACAACCACAAGTACCAGCAGTTATTTAATTTTACAGAAAGAAATGAAAGTAGGGGGATCGGTTTATTACAGCAAGTAAATTTTAAATAGATCCCCCACTTTATGTCCACTTTACACGTACTAATTTAGATGGTCAAAATATAAAAGGTTCGGTTGAGCCCAAGCTAAGATAATAATCGTATTGAAAAACAACATTTATAATTCTGATTATTTCTCTACAATCGTAAGATATATAATGATTAAAATGAGTAATGCAAGCATAAAATATAGAATTTTGTGCTTATTTAATAGAAAGAAAGGCGACTCGAGTAACAAACATAGGGAAAGAAGACGCGTGCTCCACTCGGTGAAGTCATATGACGCCATGCTGGATTTTAGCTATTTTGAATTCGTTTAATTTTACTTTATATACTCTTAAATCTTTTCATACCTATTCTGTTCTATTCTCTAATCTACAAACTTTCGTCAGAAAATAATCTTGGCGTTTTCGGAAAACTTTATACACTCATAATTTGAGAAATGCTGCGGATCGCCAACTTACCTGATAGAACGCTCACAAAAAGCTAACGGGTCACGTGACTTGCCGTCGCATTCGTGCCGCCATATAAAAATGTTATCGGGATGACGTCATATTGGAATCCCCTAAGAAAAAATATTTCGACAAGAAATACAAATACAATAAACCACCTGAATTTTAATTACGATTTAAAATTTTATAAATTCAATTCGTTTTACTAAATTTGAAACCTTACATGCCTTAAAAACAGTTGTACGGAATTCGCCGGAAAGAGACGAATGTTAATGAACACAATACGGTGTTTACTCAAAATAAGTCCCTACACAACCATAACTTAATTTGCTTGCTTTAAGTATCAGGATTTAAGAAATAAAGAAATAGACGGTATTTATTTTTAAATTTCAATTTTTGCCATTTTATTACTTTTAGTCTCCTTTCAATAGATTGTGCAATCAATTAATAAAAAAAAGTAAGAAATAAACAATCAAGGAAAGAGTTACAAAGTTATTCTCATGTGTGTGTGTTGTTATTTTGGATGCACAAAAAATGTCTATTTTTAATTTAATAGTTTCTTTCTTTCTATTCAACATGAAGAAAAACAGTAACTAAATAAAACATGTCATAGCGTTCAGTTTTTATTATTGGTATCAATTTTATATTAAGAATTATTTTTCATTTTTGTCAAACATCGTTTTCCTCGCCATATTGAAGTTTTCAAAAGAAAAATAAGGAAAACAAAGCGTAATTAAGTAGACGTTATGTGATCAAGCTTAGAATCAGTTTCTTACTTCCTTGTTGACTAAGTTTTTCTTATTAAAATTACTTTTGATATTAATTTTGAAAATATCTTGAAATGAATAACTTTAATCGTTACAAATTTTATGCTAATGTTTCGAGACCATTCTTTTTCACACTTTATTAGCTATGACAATAGAAGGGACATAATAATGATATTACTGCATACTGTTCAAAACAGTTAAGGATCCTTGGCACATGCTGAAATTAATAACCCTAATATGCGAAGACAGAGAATATGAAACGAAATAAGAATACACAGAAATAACTGCGCTTTACAATGATGAAAGATAAGAATGAATAAATTTTGAAGAATGATTAAAAAAAACAGTTTTTTAAAATGTAGATGATTTGAAAATCAAATAAACATAATTTTAAAAAAGTAAAAAAAAAACTGTCTTTGGAAGGCTAAAAAAAGTGAATGAGAATTGCTATATGCCTAATTTTGCACCAATTTATCTCTGTAATAAAAACTTAGTGACTTTAGTTTACTTAGTGCTTTAGCTTTACCATGTCATTGTTTCAGAATAAGGACTCTAGAGAGCCATCCATACACCTCTAGGATATTAAGATGCAACAATGTTATTGTTACAATAAGTTCTCAAACAAAAGTAAAACGTAACATTAATGACTTGTTAAAAAATATTATTCCTTAAATTACCGGGACAGTTTTTCTAGCCTTTATTTACCTTTTATTTAACTCTTCTATGTGTGTGTGTGCTGAAATTTGGTAGTTTGGTTGTCTTCAGCCAAATGTTCTTAATATTGTTCTGTATCTTTATGTTTGCAAGTAAAACTTCAAATATTTTATGGTTTATTTTCAATTTTTCTCAAATCTATTTATTTTTTATTATTTCCATTTTTTTCCTATTGTTCTTTGTTCATGTTTCAACTTGCAAATTTCCTCCATTGTATCCCCACTACACAATATTTTGTTTTTCTTTTGAATTTTATATCTTTTACGACCCATGGCAATCTTTACGTACTTTAAAAGTAAATATCAATTATACTACTTATGATATGAACAACTCCCAAGTTTCATAATAAAATCTCACACTATTACATAAGTTACTATTAACTAACATTTCTAATAAAAAAATTATAAGTTGAAATTCTAATGGTATCATTATATCATTGGTTAATATCAATTTTATTTTGAAACAAATATTTTATAATAATATCTAGATTAATATTTAAATAATAACATAGATGTGAACTGCACATAAAAAATAATGGTTGTGTCTTTGATTTTGAATTCAGTTTCATTGAATGCTTTTTCTCTGTAGATATAATATACCACATAACAGGGAGGAAAATAATAGACCAATGAAATCATTCTATTCCTTACACGTAAGCTGATGACTGGCCGCTGATGACACTGCCAGCAGTCCTCTGGTGGCAGCCACCGGTGGGCCTCGAGCAATCTGCCAGTGGTAACATTGCCAAGGAAAACACGCTGGCGGCCCGACAGCAGGTCACCAGTGGCAAACACTAGTGGCATGCCACCAGTGGCAGATTGGTGGCTTGCATGTAGGGTTGTGATGTTCAAAAGTTCTCTTAAAGACACAGTAGCTGAAAATTAAATCCTTGTTAAAAGTGATTGTCTACCTAATTTTTTATCAATGAAAAATTGGGTAGACAATCACTTTCAACGAGGATTACAGTTTCAGCTAGTGGCAACTTCAAAGTAATTATTTTTCATCATCTATTCTGTTTCTACCAAGCAGAGCCACAGCAAAGTCTACTGTATGTAAACCCTCACCTCTCTCTCTTTCTTTTCATAGATTTATATATTGACTTTTATTCAAACTCTGAAAGGAACATTCATTTCATACAAAACTTTTCTTTATCAACCAACTTTAAATTGCACCAACTTAATTTTCTTTTTTGCATCTCAATTGTTTGGTTTTGAACAATACATATTAAATTATCATTAGTATTATGTTTATGTATGTTTTGTTTTATTTTGAAATAGTAAAAATTTTTACCAAAATTTGTTAGGGGATTCATTTTTTAAATGCTTCTTCAAATACATATTAACTGTTGTTACCCACCATATATGTATATAGATAAATAAACTAGAAAGATTGTGTTGTAGTAATTTTGAAAGTGGAAAGGAGCTACCTATTTTGAAAAACAGCATTCAAAATTCATGTTTTATTTTTTTTACTTGGGATCAAATACTGACCATTTGAATATATGCAAGCATATTATTCTTCTTCCTTTTTGCTTTGTTAAGAAAAGAGAAAAAAAGCATATACTACACATTGAATTTAAATTATAACTCATCAGTGACAGATCCAGGATTGTAAGCAGCAAGTGCTCAAAATTAGTAAATTTATGAAGAAGATTGTTGGTTATCAATGATTTGGTAAGGAGTTTGTGGATTTTCTGTAAGTATAAACATTTTCACTTATATTTGTTGAGTTATAGCTTTTTAATACCAGAACTGACAAAAGATTAAAAAAATACCACAGAACCAATAAATAAAAAATAAGATGGAAAACATTTATTTCTCTCTCTCTAGATGATGAAAAAGATAATAAATTTTCGATTTTAAGTTTAATTTATGATTACTTGGCATTTCTTCTTTATATTTATGTGGTGATATGCAAATTAGATTGTATATAGGTGGGAAGGTTTCTACACTTGGGAGTGTGAGTTATCTTTCCTTGACTACACTGTGTACTTGTGAGAACTTTACATGACACAACAACATGGCATCGCAGATAGGATATCTAAAATCATTAAAGGATCCTGAGCTTGTTGAGACTTGGAGGAGATGTTTTGCAGCATTGGCAAGAGTCAAGAAATTGAGTGACAGTAAATATAGAAAAGAAGTAAATGAAGTAACAGATTTATTACTAACATCAGCAGGTTGTGGGGCCATAAAAAAGATCTCTGTAATGGTCTATTTAAAGATGTTAGAAGACTTGACATTTGAAGAAACTGCCAACATTGTACAAGCAAATATGTATATCCAAAAAAGAAACTGGTTATAGCTGAGAGTATGAAATTTTGAAATTAGGCAAAACCTGGATGAAACCATTAGACAGTATGTTTACAGGCCAAAGAAAGCATCATGGTAATGTGAATTCAAAAAATTGGTTACAAGACTGATATCTATAGAAGAGGAATTAATGCAATTAAGGAGCAGCAATCTGCAATTGAAACAATTTGATGGGTTAGACATTAAAACAATTGGATGCTATGATGGGGTGTTTGAGACTAAGACTTGATTTGAAGTAATACCAATCTTAGTTGTGGAATGCATAAAAGACCATGGTCTCCTGGGGGTTGACATATTAAGAATAGACTCCTCAAAGTTAGTTAATTGCATGAAATTGGAAAAAACTTAAGATTGGACTTTTAAAGGATTATGAGTCAAGTGTTCGGCTCAAAGAGAATAGCCAACCAGTTTATTTTCAGTCTCACAAAGTTCCAGTTCACCTTCTGCTCATGGTTATGGTAAAAACTTAATAAAATGATTGAACAAGAAATATTGGAGAAGGTCAGCCAAGGAGGTAGCAATTGGGCTTCTCCAATTGTGGCCATATACAAAACCAGTGGAGGTTTAAGGATTTGTGGTGACTACAAAGTTGGCGTAAATCACCAGATATGTTCAGACTTCTCCCCATTGCCAAATATTTAAATGGCATATCGTGAGTTTGTGGGCATTAAATTTTTTGCCAAGATTGCTCTGGAATCTGCGTATAATCAGATTAAAATTGATGACCATTTTCAAGAAGTCACCACAATAAACACTCCTATAGGTTTTCGAAGGGGGACTCATCTGCCATTTGGAATTAAAACTTCTAGTCACATATTCTAAAAGGACTGAAAAACAGGAGGTGGCATTCAAAAAGCTAGTAGTTAATGTATTTGACCTGTTCAGACTCACACTAACTACTGATGCTAGTGAACGTGCCATAGCAGCGATCTTACCATAAGCGAGACATCCTATTATGTATTTGTCCAGAAAGTTGACAATAACAGACACAAATTATTCTAACATTGAAAAAGAAGTGCTGCCAATTGTCTGGAGTACTGAAAGGGCACGCAATTTGTTATTGGGTAAGAAATTTCTACTAAAGTCAGACCACAAACCCTTAGAGTTCAATTTTCAAACTGAGGAAAGAGTTGCTTAAAGTCATATTGTCTAGAATTTTGAGGTGGGCAATTAAGCTTATGGCATTCGATTTCATCATTATGTATAGTAAAGGAAATGCCATTCCACATATAGACATGTTGTCAAGATTGAATTTTAATACCCAGAATGTTGAAACAAAGGACAGTTGTGAGGACAGAATTTTGCAGGTGATATGATTTTATAAAGGTTTTATAAATTATCAGAGATTAAAGTTTTTGGTACCCCATTTCTGGAAAATATTACTCATAATATTTGCTTTACCGTGGATGCCTTCCTATCTTGAACACTAACCACTCCAGGCCATCCAGAGAATGAGTTGATCAAAATTAAACATGCCTTTAACATGTGCATGATCCATATAAACATGGCTCCATGGTTCCTTTTCTTTAGGGGATGAATGTATTCTGGTTTGCCAAAAGTTTTTTATTTCCATACATTTTGGACATTTTTGTATGTATTTTTCTACATCACATGAATACTGAGGGCACCATACTTTCAATTTTAATTGTCTGTGTGTTGCTCTTATTCCACAATGAATATCATAGTGTACACTTTTTATTACATATTTTCTTAATCTCTCTTTTGGTATTAAAACATCTCCATTGGATAAAAGAGCCTTCTCTATAATTAACTTGCACCTTATCTCTTTATAGGGTCTCTCTGTCCCAGAACAATTGCTCCATTTCTCTGGGATATGCCATGACTGAGATCTTTTTGATGGCCTCACTTCCTGCTGAAGCCAGAAAGAGATCTGTAATCTTGTTCTCCCCTCTTGCATCTTTGTGGTCTTTTAATTTCTTGACTTGCACATGAGCAGCAAAACAACAAATCCATGTTTCTACAAAGTCTGGTTTATCCAACAGTGTTAGTGATCCTATTGGTGATGAAATATTGTTGTGTTGTCTTCTAGTTTGAAACATAGAAATTCAACTTCTATGTTGAGTGATGACTGACTTATTAGCTCAACTCTATATAAAATAGGACAAGTCCATATTGCCTATGTCACTACAAAAGGGTTCAGTTCAAAATTCCCAGGTTACCAACTACAAGAGACATCTGAAGAAAGCCAGAGAGTACAACAGTCAAAATGTTGCAACTGTAGCAAGTATTGAAATTAAAATGAATTACAATTAAAAGGAAGCAACCATAGGTAGAATACAAGTTATGCTCCTTATTTTGAGGATGTAGTATGCAGTAAATATAAGATGCCTGCTCATTGGCCAAAATTAAAACTCTAATGCTGATATCATGTTAGCTTATATAAGGTATGAACCATGAATAAATAGTTCTTTTTTTTTAGCTCCTTCTTCATGACATGGACAGGAGACACACACAACCTATGGGAAAACTACTAAAGAACATTACTAGACTCAAAGTTACACCCACAGACACTTAGAGTGTGTCTATGAATCCACAAAGCACTAAAGATTGCAAACTTCTTTTCATTTCCTTTTATTTCTTTGTTTTATTATCAATCTATCTGTCTGGTGGCTCATGGCTCATAAGGGCACCAGTGACAGTTCTGTAATTGAATTGTTCTATGAGGTGGTGTAATTGGCCCCACACCTAAATTCTGTACCCTGAGGAAGAGTTGGTCAAAATTTTCCTTCCTTTAGATGATCATGCATTCCCATGCTAACAAGTTCCATCTACCCAGTTTGGGGAATTCAGAGTTGTCCTTCTACTCATCTGTTTGTCAACCAAAGCTGATGAGCCAAGTCTGTCCTACAATTTAACCCATAGTTAGGGGTAGGGTGGAGAAGAGATGGATGCAAAGCTTTCCCAAGTGTATTTGTGCAAAAGTGAATGTTATGAACTCAATTGAAATTGAAACTTGGCTTGTTGATTTCTCATTCCAAGCTACTAACTATTGCACCATCAACATATTCAGCAATATTTTATTAAATGTTTATAAAACATATAAAATTGTTGTGTTCTTTCTCTTTCAGTAACACCCAGTTCAAGTGGACTAACTTTGTGTTTAGAATACTGTATTAAATTACTATACAACTAAGATGAGGACACTAGTTGGAATATATGTTTATGATAATTTCTGATTTCCAAAATTCAGACAAGAATTTTCACTAATTAGTTTAATTGGATTTCTTTATATTTTTTAATATTTTCTTCTATTTTTTTTATAATTTCCAGAATAAAAGGATTTTATCAGTAATATTCTAATTTTATTTTTATGTTTCAGAAACACCTTTTATTTATTTCCTTTTAGTTTTCATGAAAACTTTTAATATTTAATCTATATTTCGTAATTGATGCAACTCATTGCTAGTTGGGAAATCTAACAGAGGATATAGCAGATATTAGGCCATTATGTTTGAAAAGGTAATTTTGAAAACATTGATCATGTATTCATTCATCAATTCTTTTTTTGCTATCTTACTATTGTAGTGTGCCAATGAAAAGAACATGCTCAAGATGACTGGTGATAGGAAAATGTACAGGAATATTTGGATTCATGCCATAACTAAGTTTACAAGTGTCTTTTTTCTGACTAACATCTATTATGCATTTTGAGATATTTTTATACAGCTAGTATTTATGATATTAATATAAACAAAACAATATTTTAAAAAAATGGTAGTCATGTTGATAGGATAAAGTTTAAAATTTGGAATTACAAATCCAGTTTTGGGGATACAATGCAATTATCTCCCTTTGGTTGAGATGAAGTGATATAGGTCACATAGCAGTCAGTCAGCTTCCAGAAGTCAAACCAAGCAGTTGTTTTTTGGGCCTAGGACTTGTGACCCAGGCTGAGACTAAAACTGCCTCCTCCAGCATGTGGTACAGCTTACAAGTCTATGGTGCCATTTTCCTATGGAAATATATCTTTCCAAAATATAGAAAGAAATTATCTCTGGCTTGCAGCCCTCATGTTGGGAAAAACCCAGGTCTCACCATTTTCCATTTGTGAAATATGTCCTCGCTAGCAACATAGATAAATCTGGGCCACTCGAATCTGGAATTCTAAATATGGCTTTTCCATAAACACAGAAGAATTTCTGGCAGCTCCAGTTCCTGTTGAGAATTATCATAAGACTCTCTTTTTTCATTCTCTTTTCATGCTACTTGTTGTTACATACATGTTG